AAACATGGGAGCGGTGGAAAGATGAGGAGGTGTCGGCGTTCTGGCGATTTACTCGGAAGGCTTCAGTAGAAGCCAGTCCCCAACTCCGGGGACTTCTGGCCGGGGACTTCAGGCGGCAGTATACGCCGTGAAGTTGTTTGCGGCCTGCCAGTAAACCCAAAGCAGAAGAAGAAGAAGTGACGTCAGCGGCTTCATTTGCGTAATCCTCTATCAGGGACTTATTCCGGTGTGAACGCGATTTACTAGATAGTTCCGGAACTAAAGATTTCCGGGGAACTAAGTTCCGGGAACTATTCCTGGGAAAAGTACCTGGTGTGAAAGCGCCTATTGAATACACATTCATCACCCAACCCTAACCACTCATCAGTATTTCGGGGATTGCCTTAATCAATTAGCATTATGCAGACTCAATGACTCTGATGTGAAGCAGCTGCTCTGACTGCCGGGCTTTATTGCCGCACATGTGCAACATGTTCAAGCGCTGGGTGTGCAAATATGCAGTAAGCATTGTGCATGTGTGTATACCTTTAGTCTATTTTATACAGGCAGGCATGTCATTACATCCAACACTACCATCAAAGGATGCAAACAATTCAACAACCCCACAAGTATTATATAGTAGTAATACTAGTTGGTACAATTCTGTTCAGTTCCAATGTAACTTGTGATGATGATATCTTAAAATATCAAATGTCTGGTACTCCTGCTGATGCCTTTGTCTCTTTTTCTACAGAGACTGTAGAGGCAAACTTTACTTATAATGCATTCCAACAGGCCTTTTAAGTGTTAGGTGTTTTGTAAGAAAAACTAGCTTTACAGCCAAATAGATTGATCGATTTTCCAAATTACTTTACATTTATTCTAATAAAATAAAATAAAAATGTTATTGTCATGCATGTAAATACATTAACCTCACAGCAGAGAGAGTGAAATGTAAACTCTGCATTTAGTCTATTTTAGTATTTGGAGAAGTGGGCAGCTACTATACAGCTGTGAGCAGTTGTGGGATCTGGTTCTTTGCTTGAATAAAACGGTTCAGTAAGTACATTTGAATTTCCTTTGCAGGAACAAATGGATTAAGAATATTGTGGTAGTGCTTTTGTAGTTGCATAATAGCTCAAGGTAAGTATTGTTTTGTACAGGAAACACTGGAGCACATATAAACAAAATGTAGGTATTAGGTGTATAAAAATCTGATATTAAACTTAATCTTGATCCACACTTATATTCTAAGTGTGTGGCCACATAACACATAATCTTAATGACTGAGTAGATCAAATCAGATATGCGCCACCACGAGAGATAGAAATGCAGACGATGTAATTAAAAGCTCAGGGGCCTCCTTTATAAAGCCTTGCGTAGGATTCACGTGGGAAGGTTGCTTACGTAGGACAAAGCAAATAAATACGCACAGACATTTTCCGATTTATAAAACACTGCGTACCGGCGTAGAACGTGCATGCGGCACGTCCTACGCCGGTTTCCCTTTATAAATCACAATCAACTCGAAATGCGGCGCAGCTTTTGTGGGCTTCACGTAACGCCCATATTTGCCTATAAATAGTCAAAGAAACACCCCGTATTAATATTCATTTTGACTGACTGCATGAAGAAGATCGCAGGAAATTACAACAGAACAGGTTCTTCCTTCTGCCAACGGTGTCACAGTTTCTCGTCTCTCACGTTTTTGTACGTAGTGCGTACGCATGGGTCAGAGTTTGCGTGGAGGACTGCACATTTTCCTGTCAAGTTTGTTTTTTATAAATCGCAAACATTGCGTAGAAACTGGCGTACGCCATCTTTTGAGCGTACGCACCGTTTATAAATGAGGCCCCTGGACTGCTCTGGGGCCTCATTTATAAACGGTGCGTACGCTCAAAATATGGTGTACGCCAGTTTCTACGCAATGTTTGATTTATAAAAGGGAAACCGGCGTAGGATGTGCCATACGCAAGTCCTGCGCCGGTACGCAGTCTTTTATGAATCGGAAAATGTCTGAGCGTATTTATTTGCTTTGTCCTACATAAGCAACCTTCCCACGTCAATCCTACGCAAGGCTTTATAAAAGAGGCCCCTGATCTGACAGGAGGGGGGGTTCAATCACCAGATCCGGCTCGGGGCAGGATCCCTGCATGTGTGCGACAACAATACAGCTAACAATTACTGGTTTAGACCCTGGCTGTAAAAATAGCCCTGATGGTTAGGGCAGGGCTGTAAAAGACAGGCTGGGACTACCTGTGTCAACATAACACCAGGCCACAAAAACTGCATCAATCAAAGGAAAGATCCACAGCAGTGTAAGCAAGTGAAGTGGGTTTTAGCAGAGAAGTTAGGAAATAACTTTTAGTAGAAATGTGGTAAATGCACTATTGTGGCAGGAACCTCCCTTACTCTAAAATCAATGATACTACAATAGAACCAAGGATTGGACTAATACAAAATAAAAAACACATGTACAAATTCAGTTTGTGTAATATTAAGGGTGATCGTGTAGCAGAGCACACAACAGCCCAAATGAATATGCTTCACTATTGGAACAGCCTAATTTTGTTCATTGTGGTGCAGAGATGGAAAGTCACTAAGTATATTTACTCAAGTAATGTCTGAGTAGGAAGATTTAAAAAAGGTACTTGTACTTTACTTGAGTATTTCCATGTTATGATACTTCTTCTACACTACATTTTGGAAGCAAACATTGTACTTTGTACTCCACTCAATTCATTTGTAAAGATTAGTTATATTATTAGTTGATATTATACAAAATTAAATCAATTGATTGATTAATACAAAAATAAATCAACTAATACATTATGATGTACTTTTATGGATTACGCTCCACCTTTGCAAGCTGTACAATTAAGATACATAATAATTCATCAATAACTGTGAACCTGCAATATACATTATTATGAATGTTTGTATTTGCACCACAGGGACAAACTACAATACTAAAATGCACTAAAATGTTAGGGTTAAAAACAGGATAATATCGTAAACATAATAATGACAAATAACGGCGAAAATGTTTTTCCATTCTACATAAAAAAGTACTTTTGATGCTTGAAGTACATTTAGCTGATAATACTTCTGTATTTTTATATTATTCAGAATAGGGCCATTGTGCAGAAATAGTTTTTTTTAAACTTGTTGGACTTGAAGTACATATTGCTGCGCATACTTTTTTACTTAAGTAACATTTGCAATGCAGGACTTTTACTTTGTTTCTTAAGTTTGAGATGCGAGTACGTTGTTCTTGTTTAACTCCCTGGATAAACCGAACACACATCAAAATACAGACACGTTTAAATGCCTTGAGTTTACATTACAGGGTGCATGAAATATCTAGTGTTAGCAGGATTTACGTTGGGCACTATTTCAGTCATGCGATTATATAACAGTTTACATCTCTTTACAGCTCCACATAACATTTAGCCTGCAACTAAAACCGTAACACGTTAGCTACCTATCCGAATGACAAAACAAAGAGATGTAGCCACAAAAAGTCACGACTTTATCAGCATAAACAAAGCAAGCATGCTGGAGGCTAATATTGAGAACAAATATTATGTCGACAGTAAACAACGTTATTTAAAAAACCATGAACGCACGTGTTAGTGTCGCGAGCGCTACACCTAGCCTTCCGAAACAGGTATTGTAAACAAGAAGACATGCTAATAGATATTTTAAGACCCATCTGTCTATCACATGCGTTAGCTAAGCTAGCTTAGTTATGTTTTCTGGTGGTTTGTGTGTTGATAATACTCACCGAGCTGAACAACGCCTCATATATCACAGTTATCTGTGTGTATTTTTCAGTCTCCGTGTATTAATACACTGATAGCTACTCGGTAGGTAGTTTATTGTCCACCGAACAAAAGCTAGCAGCAAACTCAGTAAACGCTTCAGCCGCAGACCACTGACGTCTAGTTAAGATGGGTTGCCATGTTTGGTTAACTTATCCTACAAAACGAGCGCCCACAGGTAGATTATCCAGACATTTTAGATAATATACACCATAAAGAGATAAATGCTTCCCCGTATTGGTTTTGAAAATATTGATTATAATATTATTACTTTCGTCACACTTTTCAATGGCACATTGGATCATAACGTTTTGAAGCTAAGTATCAAACCTGGCAACCCGCCGGGCCTCAAGATACCACTTTAACAGTCCCGGGTTTGCCGGCAGTGGGCGCTGTTCACTGTCAGGAAACTGGACTTTAATCAAGAAGGACCCAGTAGAACTACGTTATTTTGAACTCCTAATAAACATGCTAATTTCAGTTAGTATTGCGAGAAAAAAGATGTGTAGCCTACTCTCCACCATTAAAACGTGTTTGCGATTGACAGTATGGCAGTTCACATTTAGATCTGAAGTATTGAGACATTTAAATGGCTATTATCACAAGAGGTTTATTTAATAAAATACAACGGGACTCCAGAATCAGTTTCACAGTTGTCATTACCACTCAGCCTTATGTTCATTAGCTCTGATTAAACTGGGCAATCTTTATCAGAATCAGACACAGAATATTGCTCCATCTGAGAAATACATAAATAAAATACTTAAAGTGATACGGCTGTTAAGGTGTAAGGCATCTGAGTTTTTCCATTTTATTTCAACAAGCATTTTAGTTTGTATTATCAGTTACATATGACTGAGTTATTGAATAAAATGTCAGTATATTATGTTACATTTTAGATTCCTTATACTTTCCTTTTAAATCCATTTGCGATGTAACAAAAACAAAATCACCAGAAACAAGTACAACTTTTAAAACTACATAAGGGACTCCAAGAAGTTACCTATATCTGTTTGACACAGAGCAACATTACAATTATTTTTGATGCACAACATATTTCCAAAATTGACTTTGCTTTTTCCTCCATTTTGGTATCCACCAACTCCTGAGAAAGAGTTTGTCTTTACTCACTTACAAATAAACCTGTGACCTGTTGGACCAATCACAAAAAGGAGAATAGTATCAAAATACAAATAGTCAGGTTCGAGTGTTTTATTGGCACATACAACTCACCTTTAAAAAAATAAAAAAAGTTAATGGTAGAAGAATCAAAGTGTTATCATTCATTTAGACACACAGTAACAAAAAACTGTTTTCAGATAACAGTGATGAGTTGGCTACTTCAAATAGGACAGCATTTATATAAAATCACACAGATATATAAAAACATGAAAGTAAACACTTTTACAAATGTGCTGACATTCTGCTAATGAACTGATTTGGTTATTTGTTGTACATTTTATACAAAAGGCACTAAACAATGTTGCTGCCTACGTCATCCACAGCAATTCTTTTGAGTCCAAATTATTATTTTGTGACTTGTAACACGTGTTCAAAATGTTTACTTCACACAGACACCATTGATGAACCAACTAACAGAATGTAGGCCACATCATGAGCAATACCTCACCCAAAACACCCGACAGAGTGCATTTGATATATAAAAAAAAAGACACATTTTGGATGGAATATCTATCAAAATTAAGACAGTTAAAATTAAGAGCGTACCAGTTCCAATGTAAGCCTCACTTGCAGTCTATATAAACAATTTAGAGGTGAGACATCAGGGATAACAATCGGTGGGACAGAAGAATATACGATCTTAAATCAATCTTTCATCGAGGAAAATTGAGAAATTACCGAACATCCCGGTAGAAAGGAAAGAAAAAATAGACAAATAAAAAGCAAAAAAACTGAGGTCAGCTGACATGGCTCGGTTAGGTTTCCAGTACGTGTTAAAAAGTTCACAACAGCAACACATGTTATAAGTGTGGGGTAAATCACAGCAAAAATACTCCTGTAAAGAGAAAAGACCACACTGTAGCAACTGGTTCACTCTGGGAGAGCTCTGAATGGACAACATATATAAAAACACAGTTAACAGGTCCGATTTAAGAAAGAAGGATGGACACATTTTAACTGTTAAGTGCTTTTCAAACTAAAAGGAGTCAAAAAGATTCAATAACAATCATTACATTATTTTGACAAAGTTTAAGATGATATTACACAAACAAAATTGCTAGTTTAGTGTTGATTCAGATTAATGTCATTATTTTAAAGGTTGTAATAACCAATAGCGACTGAACTTCATTTTGTAACCGAAAGAGACATATTGTTTTATTACTATCATTAAGGTGGATTTGAAGTAGAGAGCAGCTTAAGTGCACTTACAGGCGAAAGGAACTAAAGAAAACTTGCATGGTTGCTATATATATGCTAGGTTCTGTAATTCATATTTTGTTATACCTCCAAAAGCTCCTCATTGTCTTCAGTGGTTTCCTTCATTTTGGTCATAAGTGTAGTTTTACACTGAGGACTGTTTTTCAGCCTGAGAGTTGCTGGTATACCTTATCACTGAAAAACTAGTGGTTAGCATCTGCTCCACAAGCTTCTACATCTAACTTGGTAAGTCTCTAAAAAAATAAACAGAATCATGTTTTCTTGATTCTTCGCCCTATATTGTGTGCTGAATGGGAATCTAGCCCTTAAAATGGCAGCTTGGAGTGAAAAACGCAATCTTTTCATTGTTCAAAAGACATTCACTTCGTTAAAGATGTTGGTAAAACAGAGGCTAGCAAGGAACGATGGCAGGACTCAGGTTGGGTTGCACAAGCTGTTTGTAAATCCATGAACATTCTCAGGAACTCCCCCACTTGGAACAACAACATAGAAACAGCTGTTGTTTAAACATTCAGAGGAAAAAATACAATATCTTATTAGGAGCATCCATGCTCATGAACACACATGAAGTTGGGAAAACGATTTCCCAACTCGGGAAATTGGGCATTGGGGGGTTTGCAAATGCACCATTGGCTTTAAAAGACTGTTTTCGGAGCATTACTAGCTAATGCTAAACTAGCTTGAATTAATACTGTTTTTAGGGCATAACATTTATTATTATTTTCAGGAAATTCCATTTTAAGTCTTTCCACTTAAAAGGATTTCTTAAAAGCATTTTTATTGCAAGCTGTCGGGTCACATAGCTCTTATCTCCTCATTCTGAACTGGTCTCATATTAGCAAGCTAACATTATGTTAGCTTTGTCAGTCGGTTTAGCTAGGAAACAAGTTGTAGTGCAGTTTGGCAACAGCTGTTCTTTTAGGAAAATGTGTTTGTGTTTTACAACTTGCTTTAATTTTGTTGCATTTATCTCCACTTAATAAAAATGTATCTTAAGGCCAAGCTAACATTGAACTTACAAAGAGCTGGTCCAACAAACAGCAGAGATGTTTACCTTCACAAAGACAGTGAATTATTAGAATACTGCTTTACAATACAAAGGGATCATACCAGGTACTTCATGGTTAAATCTAATGATCTGTAAATGTCATTGGGAGTGGGGCTGTGTGGCCTATTGTCTAATACAATACATTGAAGATTCTACACAAAACAGCTTCACAATCTTTTGACAGTTTTAGAACAATGATATCAACAAGGCAATAATGGCAAGAGTAGATAAGCTTAGACTAATAAAAAATACGCCTTCATTTTGACCTTCGAGGGTGTGGTTTGGTTGCAGTGTGCTTGCGTCACCCACATCTGTAGACAAGGTCTGTACAATAATAAATTCACAGCAATTTCCAATCAGGAATGACCGAGGGGAATCCCCTTTTCTTCTTAGAAACGTCAGTAACCCAGAACTCTGTTCAACAGATCCTCGCAGAAAGTCATTATCCAGTGACCGTTTGAATGGAGACTAATAATCATGTCAACAATAATAAATAAATACGTAGAGACATAGGGATTGTAAGAAAAGCAAAAAAGGAGTGGAAGGCACCATCCTTCCTGAGAAAAAAGTGAAGGAATGGATGGAGAGATGATGTAACCCTTGGAGTTCAAGACTTCTGTGGTTTGTCTTTTTCTGTCATTCGGAGACTCGCTGCAAGAGGAATTCTCAAATGGCAGCAGCTACTTTTCATCCATTTTTGTCTTTTTTTAAAGGTATAATTTGCCATTTTGGCCTCAAACACTGGCGGCAACTTCGAACGGTGGTGGTCATTTTGAAAATGTCAGTCATTGTAGTGCTGTTTCCCCTTAAAGTATAAGGTTGTGGTCCCAGTTTCAGCCATTGTACTGCTGCTGATAGCGGCGGTTCAGCTCCCGCAGCTCCTTCTCCCTCACCCGCCGGGCCTTGTTGGATTTGGTGGAGCGGCTGGAGCGGGTGGACTGCGACGACTTGGTGCTGTGGCAGCGCGACGACGCCCGCTTCAGGAGGTTCTGAGATATGGAGCGCTGGAGGTTCTTGTTGGAGGAGGAGGCGGCCATGCTGACCACCCAGGGGTGCTTGATGGCCTGGCCCGCTGTGAGCCGCTCGCTGGGGTCCACCATCAGGATCCGCTCCACAAAGTCTTTGGCCAGGTTGGACACATTGGGCCACGGCTGGAGAGGGACAGAGGTTAGAGAAAACTGTAGTGAACAAATGTTTAATGCCAGTACTGTCAACAGGAGAACATTGGTTCCCTAACTTAGGTGAAGGCAACGAGGGAGAGCACATTTCTAGTTCTGGAAATATTAGTCCTATAAAAATACTCTGTTTTGAATCATTTGTGGTGGCCATGTTTTTTTTCATACTCAAAGGTTCTGAAAACATAAATATCCAAATATTTTAGAAGTTAAAACATTTCAGAAGTTCAAATGCCAGGCATATGATTACTTCCTCACTGAGGAGTTCATTGTCTGTGTTTGTTCACTATGAATTTCAAAATAAAATGGAACATTGAAAAATAGTGACTTTAAAAAAAATTAAAATACAATTGATATCCTTTTCGAAAAATTAATCCAAAGAAAAACATTTGTATTAAATTGCAATTTAAACAATACTATCCGAGTTAGAAAAAAAGGAGATCAAGCTGGAATATGAGTTTCTGTCAACTCTTGCAACATTGAACCACAAAAAACTGATTTCACATTCCAGAAGATTGCGCTGTACCGAAATTGATTAATAATTAATCCCTCATGTTTTTCACCTGCAGTATAGTCTTGCAGAATAAAATAACAAGAATTGTAATATTGCAGTTGATCATATACAGTTTAACCAAGCTATTCAGCACAAGTCTTATGTGGTCGGGAAGATATTACTGGTGACAAGAGTGTGGTAGAGACTAGTACTCTAGTGAATCCCTATATCAAAGATTTGAACTGTATAGCTCTTAAACAGTTCTCCGATCATGTATTATGTATGTATATGTTGCTAAAAACTTCTGAGACACTTCACCCAAACAACACAAATTAAAACTACTATGAAACCAAAAAATAAGCCTTTCAGAAAAACTACAAACTACATTCAAGTTATCAAAAGCACTGTGAAAACAAACTAAAACTTAACTAAAATGAAACATAGCCTAATTGAAAGAAAGACAAATGTATGTGTTCTTGTGTTAGTCGGATACTGGACCATGATTGGCTTACAAACTAGATGTGATGTCACACAATCATACAGGGTAGACTCTGATTTAAATTAAGTATAGATAAATTATATAGAGAACAGATTAATGTAAAAACAGCCTGTACAAAATGTATCTGCAAAGTGAATTTACAATAAACAAAACCCTTTTTTTAGTTGAGGGGAGGGCGTTTAAAAAAGAAATGTGTAAGAAAGTAGTTTGTTGGCATCAATGCAGCCCTGTCCACCGGACAAAAGAGGGCAGCAGAGTGATACACATGTGGGGACAGAATGTTAAGATCTGAACTGTAAGGAGTTTAACATTTTATCCAAGCTAATATGATAAAATTATTCTTCTTTTTCTTTTGATATTGTTTATATTGTCTGCTAATTGAATGTGACTCTGCTTGATTGTTTGTGCATGTGTTGCTAGAACAGAACTTCACATTTTGAAAGGTCTAATCTAATGTATCATAAAATGTCCTTTGAAGCAAGTTGCCTCATAACTACTCTCAACGTTCTTTCCGAGAAGTAGTATGAGTGACTAGTAATGAGTCAAACTCTACCCCCTACTTAGACAGGAATTTTGAACACACACACACACACACACACACACACACACACACACACACACACACACACACACACACACACACACACACACACACACACACACACACACACACACACACACACACACACACACACACACACACACACACACACACACACACACACACACACACACACACACACACACACACACACACACACACACACACACACACACACACACACACACACACACACACACACACACACACACACACACACACACACACACACACACACACACACACACACACACACACACACACACACACACACACACACACACACACAACACAAGGGCTGCTCAATTAATCGTATTTTAATCACAATATTACGATTATGGCTTGCAACGATTACGAAAACAACATAATCGAAATAAAACGATTATTTTTTTATTATTATTACTTTTTCTTTCAAATTAAAAAATGTTTTTATTGGTTTTTCAGTTGAATTATACCTAAAGTTCAGGGTAATCAACTGTTAAAAACATACTGTTCACATTTTTTTTCTCCAATAAATTGATGTTTTCAAAGTAAATGGATAATCGTTTTTAATAATCGTGATATCAATTATTGACCCAAATAATCGAGATTATGATTTTTGCCATAATCGAGCAGCCCTAGCATAAGCCTCCGACATACATTTCACCTCCACCTATTACAACGTCTAGGCTGCGATTATCTCTGGACTGTAGCTGTAGATGTGGACATTATTTATCGCAGTTGTAAAGACACATGTTCCCAAGCATTTTATGTCTGCCCGACCACAGCTCCAGCTCTCGCTTACCCTTTCTTCAACTAGTTCTCTGCAATACAGAGTAACATAATACAAGTTGTTGTATTTTGTAGTGCAGAGACCTGAGGCCTGTACTACGAAGCTGGTTCAACCTAACCTGGATATGTTTGAGTTAGCCGGTTGGCCCAATCCAAAACATACGCGCTCTCGCTAAGCTGTACTACGACGCTGGTTATCAAGTGGATCGCTCAAGCCAGCCGTGTCCTATCTAGTTAGGTGCGCGTTCACATGAAAGGGGTGGTATTTGGAGCATTCAACCAATCACAAACATGGACAAGCGTACTGACAGCGCAGCGTCATACTTCCTGAATGAAAAGTGAACTTTAATATTAGTCAAATATGAAGAAGTTAAACTTTAAACATCCATGACTTAAACACTTTATCCAGGATAAAAGCCACATAGCTGCACCTGCAAGGTGAATACAGCTGGTAAAAGAAAAAGCGTTTGAATGCGTACATTAACAGGTTTATGAAATCACTGCCCCGTCCAAGACACGAGTGGATCTGACTTTAATTACATTTGACTCGAGTGTTTCGTCAACTTAATGTGTTGCTTAAAATAATACTTCTGCATACAGTATGTGACACTGTGAGTGTTGCACGGCCAGATACGGCTCAAGAAGCTGACTCAGATAAGGAAATATATGATACATTATGATGTGATATGATATGAATGATAATGGGACACATCGACGTCTGCACTCACAGTGCCGCGGACTGTACTTAATGTTACTCTGATCCGGTTACTTATGTCGTGGCAGATATTTAAGTAAGCTTTCTTAACGCTAATGTTATAATAGTCAGATTGCTCTGAAGATGGGAGGGGATATTCTATTCATTTTCACGTTCATACAGTCAGTTGATTTTGGCCGGCCGTCTTTCCTGCAATGGCAGTTTTTCTGTATTTCCTCTATCCTGTAATATGACTTGATAGCTTTAAACTCCGCACACGGAGCTCTGATTGGTCAGCAGGCGGTGCTTTCACTGAGTTGATCTCTTAGCCTGCAACCTAACCTCCTCCCGAGGAGGTTAGCCGCTCAGCATAAGTTACCATGGAAATCTAGCCCGCTAAAAAGAGAACCAGCGTCGTAGGACCGGAAAGCCCGAGTTTTCCCTGAAGTTAGCCGGCTAAGCGAAAATCCGGCTTCGTAGTACAGGCCTCTGGTAGTGCATTACGTGCAGTAAAATAAGTCACATCAATACAGCATCCAACGACAGTATTGAAATCATTGGGATTTATGAATTCTGTAGTAGTACATTATTACGCCCATCCTAATCGCAAGGATACAAGCATTTCGCTGCAAATAGTGTGTTTAAAAAAGTATGTGTATGTCAAAAAAAATGTGTACCTCTGAGTCACAAACCCACAAAGAATGATCACCCAAGTCTGCAGTTTCCCTCAGTTGTACATAGGGCTGGTTAAAGATTCTGCTCATTTTCAGGTTCATTTTTGTATTTTGTGCCTCTACTGTAGGGCTGTCCCGAATACCATTTTTCAGGCTCCGGATATTCGGTAGTAATCAGCAGCGAATATTCGAATATTCGGCCTGAGCGCGCGTAGTAATCAGCAGCGACCCGCTTCAACACGTGTATTTCGGTGTATTCATGGCATTCATTTTGTTATTCTACAGTATTGTTGTTTTATAGTTATTTGTTAATGTGTATAACCCAATTTGTGTTCTTTGAAATTGAAAAGGATATCACATTGTGTTTGTTACTTTTGTTGTAGTTGTATTTGTCTTAAGTGTAATTTGGCTTGGCTTCCTATTTTGTATGGACATGCTTTTATTTTGAAGGAGAGTTAGCGCTGTTGACAGGAAGTTGTTGTTGCTATGGAAACAACGTGACGGAGATTAACGAAGAAAAGTAATATCTACATATAAAGACGGAGAAAGTAAACAATAACGTTTATGGTTAAGTGTTAGCACCCCCCGAAGAGGCACAAGCTCTTACGTTGATATTGGAGTTTTCAATAAATTCAATTTGGAGAAAATAACGGGGAAAAAACAAACAAAACGAATATCCGAATAACGAAATTGAAACCAGAATAGTACTCCAACGAACGAATATTCGGATATTCGGGTACAGTCCTACTCTACTGTGACATGTTTACATACTAGGGCTGCTCAATTAATCGTATTTTAAATCGCGATTACGATTATGGCTTGCAACGATTACGAAAACAACGTAATCGAAATAAAACGATTATTTTTTAATTATTATTATTATTATTTTTTTTTTTTTGGTTTTTCAGTTGAATAATACTTAAAGTTCAGGGTAATCAACTGTTAAAAACATACTGTTCAAAAAAATTCTCCAATAAATTGATGTTTTCAAAGTAAATGGATAATCGTTTTTAATAATCGTGATATCAATTATTGACCCAAATAATCGAGATTATGATTTTTGCCATGATCGAGCAGCCCTATTACATATTTGAATGTTCAAAAAGCTCTTTATTTTTCTCATACTGCCTGTGCTGCAGCACCTCTTTTCACCCTCTGTCTGAAACCAGAACCCAGTCTGCTCTGATTGGTTAGCTGGCTAGCTCTATTGTGAATGGTCAACGGATTAGAGATGTCCCTCCCTTTAACCTATCACAAACAATGTGTTGGAGCGCTAAGCTATCGAAGCAACAGTGATACAACATAGAGATGTCATTATGTTATGGAAGTAAACAAAGGAGTGCGTTTCCCTCTGGAGGGAACTTTGGGATTTTAGCCTTTGCAGACCATTTACATGCACAAACATCTATATATCACACTACACTACATTAAATATATCATTATTATATCGATGATATGATACGAGACAAAATAACATATACGATTTTTTTAATATCTATATTATATGTTGTCTTTACCTGGTTATAAAAGCTTCACTACAGTAAAGTGAGGTAACTTTTTCAACTCACACAGTCAATAATGCAGCTTACTGATGGTTATTTATAAAAAATATTATTGTGGGGCCCCCTAGTAGAGCTGGCGGCCCATGTACTGGGGCTTAGTCTCAGTGCGGAGGACCCAGGTTCAGCCTCTAACCATTTTCAGTCATCCTCTCAGTCTCCCCCTTTCAACATTGTCTCTTTCAAAGAAAATCTGTTACAAATAATAATAATAATAATTGTGTAAATAATAAGGGAAAAACTGGTATTGTTACCTCTTCAATATAGATTTGGTATTTAATTACAATTATTAATATTCACAATATTTGACTTTCGTCATATCACCCAGCCTTATAGTTTTACTGTATTTTAGCGTCTTTCAACTAATTGTTTTGGTTTTTAGACTGCAACTGTTTTGTTAAGGTTCAGGCTCTCATAGCTGCTTTTTCTGCCACAACAGGCAACGTTTTTCAGGTAAAAATGTCTAAAAAGTCCACTATACACTCCTTGGAACTGAACAGCAGATAGACAAAGCTAAAAGAAGATTGAGTTGTCAGAAACACGACTTATTTTCAATGCTTAAGTTGCTGCTTCTCACCTCGATGTGTGAATAGGCAACTAGTTTGCCATGAAAACATAGAAGGTAAAAATGTGTGTGTCCTTGTGAGCTGCAACACAGCAAGCATAACATCAGCCCACAAACGTTATATCAGAGCATCATTTTGAATTTTCTCCCCTCTCATTTTACAAACAAAACTGCCAAAAATAATGGAAATATACATTTTTAGGCCCAGTCTGTACTCATTTTGACAGAGAATAAAGATTCCTGTCATTGCTCTCATTATACATATTCCTTAATTTAGATTTTGTATGAGAATTTAGGCTAGAAAAAAACATCTACTCAATAACTCATAAGTATAATGGTGGATTCCAATGAAAAGTTATTGCTTTCTCCCAAATTCCAAGAAATACTTGCTCCAAATACCTGGTCCAGCTATTTTCAAACATCAGCAAAAACAGGCTCCCTGGAGTGATGTCAATTATTACATTTGTCAGATCGGACTTGATCTCAGCTGTCAGATACAAGAGAAGTTCAAATCTGGATGCATTCCAAGAAAACAAATGATTCAACTGCTCCTCGTTAAATATTACAAAACTGATCAGCTTTTATTTGCGCTGGAGTGTCTGTATGTGCGGCAACCATTAACCGAGGGCCCCGTTTGTAAAGCTCACTGGCAACATAAACATCCCACGCTACGAAACAAAGGAATGGACTACTCAGCATTCTCCCGACTAGATACACAGATTTATTGTGCACACATACACGTAATTAGAGTGAGGGAATATTGACTAGGAGAGGAGGATAAAAATGTGTATGGCAAGGTAAAAGGTACACCAGATAGAAATCAGTGTGAGCTGTGAGATGATTAGTGAGGAGCGAAGTTGCGTGTGGGAAAAAGTGTGTGTTTGAACCATTTCACCTCACAAAAAAAAACTGAACTTCCCAGAAAATCTGTTGACAAAGCCTCATGCGGTGTGGGGAATGTATTCCAAATGTGTGTGAAGTCTGCTGTGGTGTGTGAGAAAAGATAGAGAAAGAGTGTAAGGGGCTCGTCACCTCTCCAGAGAAGCTGTACTTCCCCTTGAGGATCTGCCGGTACAGCCTCATGCGGTTGTCGTCCTCGAAGGGCATGGTTCCGCTCAGCAGGATGTACGAGATCACCCCCAGTGCCCACATGTCTACGGCGTTCGTATAGGGCTTCCTCACCAGGATCTCAGGGGCGATGTACTCTGGCGTGCCGCAGGTGGTCTTCATCAGACACTCGTCCCCCTTCTTCCTGCTGCTGGCCAGACCGAAGTCGGTGATGATGATCTTGGAATCGGCTCCGGGGTGGTAGTATAGCAGGTTCTCCGGCTTCAGGTCTCGGTGAGTGATCCCCAAAGTGTGGAGGTACTTGACGCCTTCCAGAACCATCTGCAGCACCCGCGTGGCGTCACGTTCTGTGAAGGAGCCGCGTGCGATGATGCGGTCGAATAGCTCCCCACCGGTGGCCAACTCCATGACCATGTACACACGTTCTGCCGTCTCAAACACCTCCATCAGCTGGATGATATTAGTATGACGGACACGGCGCAGGACACACAGCTCTGACTCGCACACCTCCCTCCCCTCCCGGTAGCGGGTCTCAATCATCTTGATGGCGTATGGCTGCCGCGTGCTTTTGTGCTCCACGCGAACGACCCGGCTAAAACTCCCGCGGCCTATCAGAGCTTTGATGTCGTACTTGGCCGTGACCCTGGGGTCGAATTTGGCTCTGTATTTTGCCACCTTCTTCCGCTGAGGGTCCGACAGATCGGACGGGTCCTTAGGGGGTTGGGCGGAAGCGGTGGGAGTTGCAGCTTGGGCCTGGGCCTGATATGGGGAGGTGGAGTCAGCCTTGTCCCCGCCCCCTCCACCGGCCCCGCCCATCTTGCTCCTAGTGCCATCCCCTCGTATGAAGTGCTTATAGATATCTGTCTGAAGAGGTTGGGGAGGATCAACCTGAAACATTAAGGAAGACAGTTCATCACAGATGAATTACAAACCAGAGGTGAACACAAACCGTGTTAGATTTTTGTTGAGCAAGAAGGAAAAGATTGGAGAGATAGTAAGTTTGACACACAAATAAAACCATATGCCTTATTTCCACTTCAAATGTAGCTTGAAAATCTCTGACTAGTCACAGGTCTAAAGTATTTGAAATCCACCTTGGATAGTACCAGGTTCTATCAGCATCTTTTGCTAATGGGACACTGAAAAAGACTGAGTCAAGTCAAGTAGTCCTTGCCATGCCATATTATGCAGTGGAATGCAGCAGAAGTATATAGATAGTTTAGCCCAATCAAAACTGGATTTCTGAGGTTCATACTGATGTTGATATTTGAGAGTTCAAAAAGAACAATATATTGGCTTACAGTAATTATATTTGACATTAACATATAACATCAAACAAAAAAACTTTATAACAAACCTTAACATATGTTGTTGTTTTTTGTGTGTGTGACCAAGATACTGAGCTCGGTCCAGTTCTACTCTTAAATCTTTAGTTAAAATAATTCTAGCTAAAGCTTCTAAAAACATTTGCTTTTTTTTGTGTTACGAAACTCCAAATGCATTATCTTTGGGTTTCGGATGAAAAATATTTTTTTTTCTGACATAAAAAAATTGATGCAATGGATAATCACAGCTCTTATAAGTTAATATTATCAATATAAATATTGTAGTATAGCCTTCATGGTAGAGTATGTAATGGTTTCTGCTGCTGTTTACAATAGCAAAAGTATCTGTGGTGTTGACCTTGTCCTACTGACCTTTTTGACGAGGTCCAACTGAACATCCCCTGGAGGCTCAGGGAGGACCTTACTGTTCCTGCACCCCATCACATCACCTTGGGCCGCTGCCCAGCCAGCCACACAGGCCCCCAGGAGCCCTGCTTCATCACCGCAACAGCTGATTCAACACTCAGGGCATCCAACATCCAGGCTGTGGCCTCACTCAGACAGAGGGTTCATGAATAAAGCTGATTACACCCACTCAAGTCCCAACGAGCTGGCATCAGCAGTCACGAATACACCCGATACATCCACTTAAGTCTGGTTAAAAAAAAATCCCCAAATTCATGAATATATTCTGGGCAAGCACGGTGTGTGTCTGGGCTCCATCAGCAAGTACTGTATCACTGGTTGTCTTTTGTAATAGTGTTCTTTTATGGCCCTGTGCCTCGGGTCTCACACACACTGCGCAGTCGGCAGGCTGGGGGGTACCTCAAGCCCCTTGAAGAACCAACCAGGGCCCCATCTCAGAGGAAGAAATATGTCAAATGTTTGATTGAAAACTGCATGAGCACAGCTAGTATGGAAGCTCTTGGGACAAAAATAATTGATCAGGGGAGGGAGAGAAGTTCCCGAAACAGGTTTATGTGTGGTTGCCTTGAGGTGAAACGCAGAAAGATTCAAGCAGAACTTCCACAGAAAATAAGATAATCTACGATCCGATCCATTGATGGAAGCTGCAATGTCAGCAGCCACAGATAAAGCAGCTCCCCTGCAGAATCACAGGCTGGAGAACAGTGGAGGGGAGCTCTGAAATGTAGAAAAGGAAAAATATGAATCGTGAGTTATTATGGTTAGGCTCACACATGGGTATGATATGCTGAATGCTGACACAACAAGCGCCGATTTCTATTAGGCCATTGACAGGCAGAACATAATTTTAGCACTCAAGTAGCACACCATTTGAGTTGCTTGATGAGGACATATTGTGAACATTTCAGCCAAAGTATACAGCTACCCAGAACATGTTGTGAATGGCCAAGAAAACAAGGGATATCTTTGCCATTGTAAGAAATAGCTGCATTATCACAGATGGTCACAACATCCGGGCATCAAATGTTGGAACTCTGCATATGTTGTCAAACGTTCTGAGTACATGTTTATCAACTTAATTAAAATGTTCAGTGACAACAATAGAACATTCAATTGAATATAACTTTAAAAAGTTATAAATATAGTAGACGCGGAAAACCCATGACACATGAGTCCATTTACGTCAATTTAATGGACAGCTGCATTAAAGTTTACGTAAAATAAAAAATGGCCAGGCCCCACTCATGTCAATGTTTTTTCTTTAGCCAAAAAGTCAGTGGACCGTTATTTTTGGCAAAAATCGGTATAACAGCAAACTGTCTAAAAACGTTAACAAATAACCCCGACTTTACAAGTGTCAACGTGACAAAGTCTCACCTCATTACTTATCCGAGATAACGAAGTGTCTTAGCATGCTAACTAGCCTGTTAGCATCAGGGCAGGACTCCCAACTTTGCCAAATCCAGCCTCCTCACCCCACTCTCACTCAGCTGGGCTCTCCATTTTCAACTCGTAGTTTCCCAACTTTACTCCCGAGGACAAACAATTAAAATCCGTCACTTCATGTGTTAGCGAGATTTTGTGTCATTTCCGAAGTTTCATGATGTGTTTTGAAGCTGAAGAAACTTTACGAAAACATGCAACGTTTTTGCTTTTCTGGACGGTGTTTTTCTCCTAGGAGGACCACCTTCCCACAGCCAGAGAGAAATGAAAGGACACATAATGCAACATACATATTCCGGTTTGAATTTTCACAATAAAACGCTGGTTGGGAATTCTTTGCAAAATATTATTTGGAACTACATTTCTCCTTATTTAAGAATAAAGTAAGCCAAATAAAATAGTAACATCCAGCATGATGCTTCAGGGGCCCAGAAAGGTCTACTACTTTTCAATTAACTGGTGTGTGCTGGCTCATTGAAAATGTGTAGACATTGCAGCAATAAATGACCTGATACATAATGATGATGATGATAGGTCGTCCTTTATAACACAATCTTGACAAGATGTTCGAAGACCTTCATTAAGTCAGTCTTGTTGTGTGTGTGTATGTTCCATATTCATGGATGAACACATTTAATCATATCACTTGAATGCAAGTCTGGGGTCAGGTAGTAGTATTTCTGCAAAGAAAAAATGCTAACATCTCACATGGAGTGGGAGGAATCGAAGATTAATGGAGCTAATTTGTCCCCGTGCCCTCGGCTATAAGCAGATAACCTATCAGTTATCTTGAGAAAAGTGGCCTTTATTATTTTTTCTTAAGTTTGTGGGGAACATTATACAAATGGAGGGAATCTATCTGCTTATATAACTCATATAATAGATTTGTTTTCCCGCATCAACTTCGTATGCTCTTAATTTGAAGGCCCAACTTCCTGTGTAGTTCTATCTGTCTCTGGCTTGCATGATGGAGCTCCTCTTCGGCCCAACTTCTTTTGTAGAGACGGGACGACCTCCCTCGGCTTGTATCGACCCCATTAAGTCCTCACCGTCACTTCCTGGATACAGAGAGAGGTCCCTCTGACAAAGTGCTGACTTCTCTCTTGGAAAAGTACAAGAAAGTCTGCATGGTCACGTAAGCAGCTAACTTACAAGTTCAAGTTAGAAGTACCACAGCATGACTCCTTCATGACCCTCATTTAATATGTACAGGCCTCAAGTAACACAGCTGAGAGAATTGGTGATATGCTCGACATCTATCTACAGACATCTGAGCAAAATATGGCTATTATAACATGAAAATTATAGCTTATACTTATTTTGTTATTTGTTGTATGTGGTGGGGTCCCACTAGGACATGTTCGGGGACCCCTGGTGGTTCACGGACCTCTTTGGGGATCAACTAAGCCAGTTAATTCACAACAGACACGCAGATGGATCAGTTTATGTAATTCATATACAAGCCACGTTAAATTCACCACCAAGCCACTTCAGTACCTCCAGTCTCAAAACATTATATAAACAGGTCTCAGCTATATGTTTAGACATGTGCTTCACAATGTATGAAATTGTCTTTGCATGCACACATGTGTTTTCATTTAGAAGATCTTTAAAGTGGTTAAAATGTGTATTTTGGGTCTATTTAAAGATATGAATGTGCAGAAGATGTATTCCTGCAGGGCAGCACATCGTACTGATGTTTTAATCTGTTGCACATCATTTCCACATGGTGTCACTGTACACATAACAGTCACTTTAAAGGGAAAGGTAGGGGTACTTTAAAGTTATTTTATTAGGCTGGCTGTTACTTTGCATCCCAACACTCGTGCCTCATCCAAGGTTGTAAAACATACAGTAGTGAATGAGTGGCATTCACTCACACCCTGCTTGTATGTAAATACAAAATACAAAATACTAGGCCTTGAAGAGTACTGGACTCCTTGTACACTGACCGTGACTCATACAGCCTTTACAGGACGCAAAAGAGTTTTGTAGAAGCATTCAAAGTGGGGAAATTAGTAAGAGGAAGACAAATGTTCCACAACAATAGTGAGAGAGACAGTCAAATTCATCTCATGATGCCAATAAAGCTCCTTGAATTGGATTGTGGGAGGGAAAATGAGTGGGAGATGGAGGCAGTGGTGACAGAGGAAGGCAACGGATGACAGATGGTGGGTACCAGAAATATAGGGAGAAAGGGAAAGGAGGGAGGAGGGGGCAGAGAATAATCAAAATGGAAAGAGGGAGATGTGGAGGGATAGAGAAGGAAGGGAAGAAACAGTGCAGTGAAGAAAGGAGGGAGGGAGAGAGAAAAGACAAAGAAAGATGATAAAAGCAAAGAAAGAGAGTCTCCGAGGGCCCGTACTCTCTATCCGCAGTGCAGCTGAGGTCAGGGCCCCTTCTTGGCACTGCAACTCTCTGCTACATCGTCATCCTGGTGATTGATCACCGCTTTGTCGCACTCTGATTAAGATGCTTTGTCTGAGTAGTGCGCTTCTATTGACACTTGTGTGTATCCTTTCACATCTCAACCCAGCTCTCTATTCCCCCCCGTCTATCTCCATCTCCCTCACCATCCCGTCCCCTTGTTTTCTATCTCCCATTTTCCAACCCCAAAGGTCAATATCATTTATTAGATCTAGATTTGCTGACTGCTGTATTATTTATCCATACAGAGGAAAAGGAGCTGCTCTATTAAAAGCCCAATTGACTCCGTGTGTGTCTCCGGCTCCATTAATATCCCCATGATGGTTCCCCCTCATTTGTGTGTGTGTGAGAAAATAATTTTGCGTGTGCCAGCGAGTACTCTGTAAAATAGCTGCAGAGGATGAGTAAGCAAGTAAGGGCTTACAGTGAGTGGCCAACTTTATGTGTGTGTGTGTTTACAGGCAGTCAGGTGCAGTGGGACGACAGCAGAAACTGACATCCTGTGTCAGATATTGTTTGAGGATATTGCTATTTCTATGCCCTCCCCCACTCCCCTCCCATCCTCCAGTAGGGGTCTCCCCTAGAGAGGTAAGTAAAAAGACACTGCTGCATGCTGTCAGTAAAATCTGGACATAGTTAACTCACTATTGATTACATCAGGCGCATAATTCCCTGAGGCAATATCGTATGACTACTATCCTGACACTGCAGTAGATGCAAAATATCCCAAAGTACATCACACTCATTTTAAGGATCTTATGACCACCTCAGGCTAGCCATTAGTTTCCAGGGGAATATTATGAATATTAAAGTGATATTTCTATTCTTGTCAGAAGGTGCAGCGTCTTCATGGCAGGTGTCATCGACGTTGGGATTTCAGTCGGTCCCTGTTGAACTCTGCATGTAGGAAACACCCATGATACTAAATGTTATAGTCCAGTTACTGCTCCTGCTGTGTTTTTGGAGTTCTGGAAATTTCTCAAAATCAGCGAGTCAATGTCCTTAAAAAATCAAGTTGAAGGGTGTTGACAGCTGGATAGCAACTGACAAGGTTGTTTGCCCTTAGACTGTCAAACCAACACCATCCCTACAGTGAGATGTAGAAAGAGAAGCCAATTCACTGACAGACATAGAAGGGTTCACAGAGGGGGTTTTGCTGCAAACAGCTGTCTACTGCTGGAACAACATTGATAAAAGGCCACGAGAGCGTACCAAAACCGTAGGGTTTCGGTTGCTAATCCTCAACAAAGCACTTCTGGCCTCCCTCATCTCGAAGTCAATGTTTTTTTATTATTTCCTTTTTGAGTAGATTCCCAAAACAAGGTCTTTGGTTAGTACAAGATCAAGAGTTCTTACGTCATAAAGTAATCAGTATATAACCTTCTGGAAGACATCCTTAGATTTAACATGAACAGCAGTAGTTGCTAACAAGTGACTAAATGAGACTACTAAAACGTCATGACAACAAACATGAGTCTGCTTTTAGCTTAGCAGTGTTGACGTGAAGTTGACGTGAAGTCATGTGACCGTGATGACGCTTGTTTATATCCTAAGGTTAGCTATCTACTTTTTGCAATTGCAGTTACACTTCAACTATAATAAAAGTGGGTTTAATAAGTAGATATTTTCCTGCTGAACAAAATGTGTGTTTGCCAAAGTTCTTATTTTCTGCAATATTACAAAACACAATGGACAAGTCCCATTAGCTTTAAGTTGAGGTAGCCATTACGAAACTAACTTCTGGGTTGGCCTATGAAAATATGTCAACTGGTTAATTCATTGGTAATCAAACTTCAAATAATAGTTATTTTACTTGGGGCAGTTGTGCACCTCAGGAGCGATTATCCACCATTCGTAATGTCGTTGGCCCCTGCAGCATACATGTCCAAGTGTCCTTGGGTAAGGTACTAAACCCAACATTGCTCCCAAAGGCACAGTCATGGTTGTATCTGCGTGTGAATGTTAATCGAGCAGATGGCATCTTGTATGGTAGCCTAGGAATGTGTGTATGAATGCACGTCACTAATATTAGAATAATGCTCAATAAATGCTGTCCATTTAGAATTTACTGTTAACAAACAATGACATGATTATAACAAAGTTATTGATGATAATGTTACAAATCTTATTTTTTTGTTCTTGTACCCATTATAAATGTTATATTAGTATTAATGTATAATGAGATCTATAAAACATTACATGGATAGATAGATACTTTGTCAATGGTGGAGAATTGGTTTGTAAACAGCTCTGAATGGCTTTTATAAAGATGCAAATTTAGATTTTAATAACTTGTACATTTGTTATAAAGCGTCTTAAAACATTATTTAGCTCTATTTTTCAGCTCTAAACACTGAGCTATCCGGCGGCCCATATGCAGTGTCTTCTGTCAAGTAAGCAGGTACGACTCCCGAACCCGCCAAACATTTTAGCCAATGTCATCCCATCTATCTCCTCCTTTTCTTCAACTCCAACAAAGGCACTCTCTGGCCCCAAAAATATCTTACTAAACAAAGAAAAACACGATTTAGATAGATAGTTAGTACTTTGTAGTTGAGAAAGGGGTCTTAAATCACCTTGAAGGGGTTAATTTTGCAAAAATTACTCGATACCTGCATATTATCCCGCTTATTGTACGGCTTCTTACTGAGTAAATCAGTCATTTGCAATCACCGCTAAATGCACTTTAATACAGGGGTATCTCCTCTTGTACTTTATGTATCTCTTGTATCTTCTCCTGCACTTTATGTATCGTTGCTGTTATATTGTATTACCATGTCATAAATACTTGTGTATGCTCAGTGGCGGCGCCAGGGT